CCCCCCCGCGGCCGCCCCCCCCCCCTCCGGGGGGGGGGGGGGGGGGGGGGGGCAAGGAAGTTTTCCCTGGGGGAATCTATCCCAGGCTGTCATGGCTGGAAAGCCCTGTTGGACCCAAGGGGGTGCTCTGGGGTGGCTGAGCTTCACGTGGGACCAAACTGGGGCTGAAGGGAAGCTTCTCACAGGGTTTGAGCTTGGATGAGAGAAGATGTGGCTCACATATATGTGTTCCAGCAGTAAGACCTAATGTCCTGTTCATTAGAGCCATTTAGGCTTTGGCAAGGAGAAATTAGTATAAATGACCAAGGGAGGGCCAGGGGGAGACAGGGCTTGTCAACCTGTCGGTGGCACTCTCGGCGTCTTCACAACCGGGTGGTCTATCTTCTGGGGCTCCACTTGGACACCAGGTCCAGCCCCCACCTCACACCTCCGTGGGTCCAGCACCAACCCACTTTGGTTTCGCAGGCACTTGCGGGCAGGTGAGTGGACGTCTGAGCCCATTTAATGTCTCTGTAAGTAATCTCAGGTTGTCTTCACCTTCTGTGCAGCCTGGAAAACAATGTAGCAGGTGAGAGAAACTGGTGTGCTGAGCTTTCCAGTAGGTAGACCAAGGAGATGTGTGGAGGAAGTGTGATGTTTTCTTTCATTTCAATGTATTGTGTGTCAAAAGACGCTCTAGCGCTTTTAACCGGTGGGTCTCCTGATGGAGACATGCTGACCTGAGTGCTTCATTAAACCTCAGGAAACAGAAGGATTTGTTAAGGGGCTAATCAAGATTAGTGTGGGACTAATCTTGCTTCTCAAAGGGTTAAGAATATAATGGCCACGGAAATCAAACTTCGTGTTTCCTGCAGCATCTTCTCCAGTACTTGATTAGTGTTTGGGTTCAAACTGAACTCTCTCTCAAAGCACAGCCTGTAATTGATAAGTTTTGCTAATTATCAGTGTGAGGGGAATAGGCAGCCACAGTGGGTCACTTGGCTTCTGCCTAGTCATCGCCTGTAGATCGCCCGGGCTCACCTGAGACCTGCTCCAGCCCTCCCGGCAGCTCTAGGAGCCTCTCTGCACCCCGAGCCCTGGCTCCTGGGCTGGCTCCAGCAACTCCCATCAAGCGAGCGAGTCAGATGCCTTCGTGCTGCAGCTGGAAAATATATTTATTTTGTAGGTATTTATATATGTTTAAAGGAGATTTTATATATATATATATATATGGGGGGGGGGGTTGCTGTAATGTTGCAAACAGGCCTCCAGAGATGGAGGTGGTGAGCCAGCTCCCCTACATGGTCATGACAACACGTAGCCATGGGGAGGGCTGTCAACAGCCAGCGAGGTCCTGTCTGCCCCACAGGCCACTGCAGAGCATACGCTGGCTGCTTCTGACAAAGCTGAGGAAGCTTCGTGAATACCGAGGCAGGGTTACTGAAGCTGGGTCTGACAGAGATTTATGTCTTTTAAATAGTCCCCCATCCCTCTGAGGGTGTGGTTGAAACACTGGAAGCTGCCAAGCAGCATCGGGATTCCTACAGGGGTTTGGGGTGGGAAGGGGGGGGGCTTGACAGCCTCGACAACACAGAGCCTTAGCAGTGCCTGCAAATAATTAAACACAAATGTAGTTAAAACAAGTCACCATGGCCCAACTTAAATGTCAGACATGTTCTGTGTAACGCACAGATCACTTTTTCCCTTGCCGACCCTTTTCCATTCATCTTTCCATTGAGAACCGCTCAGGTTACCGTAGGGATGGATGAAAGGGCATATATGTAACAGGAGCCAGATGAAACCATCATCCAGTGCACCAAGACTCAGCCTGAGAAAAAAAAATCTCTTCTTGAGATTTCAAAACCTAGGTTTCCTTGGGTGCTTTTGGTTTGGGTTTTTTTTTACATTCATCACAGTGTACATCTTCCCTTGCTTTCAGCTGGAAGCACGGCCCGTTTGCTCTGTGCAATATGGAGTGTGGAAGTACCAGGCACAGAAGGTGTCTGAACTCCATCAGGAAAGCCTGTCACCATCACCTTTGTCAGTCTCTTCTCCAAGCCAAGGGGGCTTTGCAAGTCAGCTCAGCTTCTGAATGCTTCCCTGCCTCTTTCTCTCACCCATGTACACAGCTTTTCCATTTCATGTCTGCTGAGGATCCTTAGAAACTTTTTATTTTTCTCTGAGCAAGAAAAGTTCACAACTGGACCCCCCTGTCCCAGGCGCCTGTCCCTGCTAAGGTCCCCAAATATCTCCCACAGGTTCATGACCGCCTGGATCGCTACTGCTGTGGGTTTCAGCCTGATCCCTCTGAGCCCTGCATGGAGGAGATGCTCCACGAGAAGTGCCGAAACCCGGCGGAGCTGGTCCTGGTCCACATCCTGGTACGTCCGCCCGCTCCCAGGGGCTGCTCTGGGGCGAAGACGGAGATGCCTGGGAGGCGCTTGCAGGGCTGAGGTGTCAGCAAAGGGGATGTAGGTGCCATGGTGATGCTGGGTCCATGGTGGGAGGTGTGCCTTGGCACGGAGGGACCTGGGCTTAGGCAGCTGCTAGCCCCCAAATACTCTCAGGATTTCTCAATGCATTAAAAAAACAGCCTAAACCCCTGAACTGGTGACTGCCCACAGCAAGTGAACTTTTCCTACTCATCCTGCTGGCAGGTCCGGAGGAGTGCACCGTCCCGCCTGGTGTTCATTGACAATGCGGGCAGGCCACAGCACCCTGAGGAGAAGCTCAACTTCAGGCTTCTGCAAGGCATAGACAGGTAAGAAGGGCAATGCGCACCCTCCTGGGAGCACTTCCCAGGCGAAGGCTGAGCTTGCACACGTGGGGTGGACGCCAGCCTTGTGTGCACACCTTTGTGGTGCTCCTGGCCTCCCTGGTCGGGCACCCCTGTGAAGTGGGGCCATTTCCCACCCAGGACGGGGCAGGTGGGTGGGCTCTCAAACCCATCACACATGCCTCTGCCCTGAAACTAGCTCTTCATCCTGCTCTGGGTGGCTGATGGCAATCTCCAAAGCCTATTTCCCCCTCTCTAATTGGCAGCCGCACAAAAATAATGAATAATCAGGTATTTCAGCATTTCTTGCGTCGTTGCCCATCAGGCAATTTGGCACACTATAGTCCCCTTGACTTGGATCCGTTTCTGGTGGAGCTGTCCTGCATGCTCGCCATGGGCAGAGTTCTAAGCAGGAGGCTCCTCATCCCGTGTTCCTCTGGGTGGACTTGCATCAGTTCTTGAAGCACTAGGGTGGCCTTTCCTTGAGTATCCTGTTGCTCCCCTCCTCCCTGCCTGGCCTTCCCTGAGTAACCCCTTCCCTCCCTCTCTCTTCTGCTCCTCCGCTGCAGCTTCCCGGCTGTGGCGGTGGCCACGCTGCGGTCGGGCAGGTTGCAGAGCCTGCTGCTGGAGTCACTGCGTGTGGATCGGGAGTTCTGGGAGAGCCACGGCGGTGCCAAGGGCCTGAGACCCCTGCTTCAGACCATCGACAGGCGGGCACGCATCCTGCTGCAGTACATCCAGGAGTGCAACCTGACGGTGTTCGAGGACTCGCCGCGCTGAGCTCCTCTGGCCGGCGCGGTGCGCCTGCCTTGCAAATCCCAGCAGCAATGGATGTACCTCACACCCTCAGCGTGGGAGATGTAAGACTGTGTGCTTGGCTCTCCAAAAGGCGTTTCCCCCCACCTTGTAGAATACCCTGGAGAACGAGACAGGATCAGAAGGAGTAGGAAAGAGGAGGAGATGTCTCCTGAAACAACCCACAACTGCTTGAGAAAGACAAGTTATCAAGTAAAGGTCTCAGCATGGATTTTCAAAGGAGGGGCACATCCATGAGACTTTTTGGGTGCCTTCACCCCCTCCACCCCAGCAACTTTGAAAACTGGAGGCTTGGACAGTTGAACAGCCTACGGGGACCCTGGGAAGGGTTAAAGAAGCAGTGAGAGGCACTGCTCAGGGCTAGGGGAAGTCACTGGCAGCCTTTCCATGGCTTGCACTGGGCTTTTTGATGATGCCTTCGCTTTTCCCAAAACATCAGAGGCAGAGAGGCTGGAGTGGTATGCGGGAAGTGGAGGGGAGCTTTCTCAGTGGATTAAGCAGGGGCAAGTTGCCCCAGCTGAGCTCTGTCTTTCCCCCCGCGGAGGTGATGTGTGCCTGGGAGCGAGTGCAAGCCACTGCCCGAAGCCGGGGCCAGGCGGGACCCCGACTGCAGGCAGCACATGGCAGCAACTGCCCTCGCAGAGCCCGTGGTGCCGTCCCCAGCGAATACTGTCTGTGTGCCTTGCGCCATGCCTCAGCAGGCTTGGGCTGCTGCCAAGGTGCATTTTTGAGTGTGGGATTTGGAGATTTAAATCTCTTACTCGCTCTTTCCCTTCACTGTCAGGGGATTAAAAGGCAAACCTACCCCAAGCTCTGCCACTTGTGAAAAGCACTCCTCCCTGCTCTCTTAGGCACGGCTGCGTGAAACTCTTTCCAAGGCTTGCAGAAATAGCTTCCTGAAACGCCAGGCTATTTCAGCAGAAGGCAATCAAGTGCAAAATGCTTTCTGAGCACCCTGGCACATCCAGCAGAGCCCATCCCGCTCCTGTCATCCCTTAGGCTCTTGCCCAGCAACCCACTGTGATGGGGCACAGCAGTGTCCCAGCCAGGCAGGTCCTCAAGTGTCAGGGCTGAGAGGTAATTCAAAAGCAAAATGAACATGAGGAAAAAAGATACAGGGACGGGCTCTGTCAGAGCCTCTCGCTCTCCGCAGTGTGTTTACCAGATAAGGCATGCAGTCAGTGTTTGCTTGCCAAAAGCAGCCGGTTCCTGGCCTGTGGGCTGATGGTTTGCCACCAGGAGAAGACTTCTTAAAGGGTCCTCAGGGAGCAGCCCTCCATTTCTCGAGCGGTACATCCTCCATGCTTGAGGCACCCCAAGTTACTTGTGCCTTTGCAAAGTCTTGGTGAGACCGGCATGGGCACCCGCGCTGTGCTGCTGTCCCATTGCCCTAGCTTTGGAGAACACGGGCATCCACGCAGTGGGAGAGGCAGAAAAGGTGGGCACTGATGCCTTCCCTGCTCCATCCCTCTCAGCACCATGTCAGTTTTAGAACCTGCAAGGGGATACTTTAACACCCATGCTGATAAGCACAAGCAATTACCCTTTTTTCCCTTCTTCCTCTTGCTGAGGAGAAGATGAAGCAAGGCGTGGGTGACATGAATCAACAACTGCGAGTGCTCTCAGCAAGTGTCGGCACTCAGCATCGCGGGCATGTCAGCATCCAGATCGCCGGCAACATCTTACTGGAGTCCTGTCCTCCAGTTAGGCAGGGAAAGCCTTTCCCCCATCACCCCCTCCACCCCATGAGTTATCACCCAGTTTGGTGCGCCGTGGGAAGGATGACTGTCGGGGAAGCCCCGCTAAAGCCCAGATCATGGGCATTCATTATCAGGAGGTAAGCTTAGCCTATAAGCATGGAGGAGAACAAAATAACTCCTCCTGGGTCCTGTGAAAAGCCATGCCCTGGCGTGACCTTGTAAGAATAAAGGAGACTAAATGTAACATAATTAAATCCAGAAAATATGCTGTGAAAAGCTATGTGGTAACAAGGGCATTAGGATGTGTAACATCAGTCATAGTCTTGTTTTTCTCATTAAAATGAGAAATTTAATTAAAAGAGAGGTTTTCATCCCATGTAAGCCAAGTTCTCAGTGAGAAGCAAGAGGAAGGTGGGGCACTGTGCAGTGGCCAAAGCTGTAGACTTTGCTGTGCTGGAACAGCAACAGCTTTTGCCTTGCCTTTGGTTGCATCTGCTTGACCTTAACATTGCACAAGGTAGTGGGGATTTTTCTAGGGTTTTTTGCATGTCCTTAGTTGTAATATGTGAGTTTGCTGGCTAAACACATATGAGAACATCTGTAGGCAGTTACACGTGTGAATAAAAATTGCTCTTGATTTAACAAAGAGCCATGTATGGATAAATGAGAGAAGCAAAATCCATGATCTTGCTGAGACTGATCGTTAGTCTCCTCCAATCAGTCATTTTTTCCATGGGCTTGTCTATGTAGCCAGCAAAGTGCACAGGCTCTGAACTGTGGTCACGGCTGTTTTGAGAAATCCTGTGGACTGCTCTTGTCTGAGCCTTTACAATGTAGTGTTGGGTTCAGTTTGCTCCAGCTATGTATGTGTCATATTTCCTATGATAAACTTATTTTTATGGTTTTATAACGTAGTTATAAAAATTCACTTGGGGCCATGCTTGACAAACAAGATCTCAGCTCAGCAGTGATCCTGTTCTAACCAAATTTCACCCGGCATCATCACGGATCATGTTGGGATGGGGTAACAAAAAAAGGACACGGTCCAAGCTGGCTGTGCTGCTGGGGCAGGACTCCTTTGGCTTTAAGAAGGCAGCAGCAGCTAAGGAAGGGAAAAAACAGTGGAGAAACAAGCTAAGGCACCTTCCCTGGGCTTACGAGTGCTGAGGTGCAAGTAAGTCCCAGTGGGGGCAATTAAAAGCAACCCCCATCCTACCAAGGATGCTCTTGTTAGCATCACTGGTGACAGGATGGAGGAGAGCAGCAGCAAGGAGCCAAGGCCATTGGGAAAGTGAAGCCGTCTGGATGCGAGTGCCCCTGGGGGCCCAGAAGCACGGGCACAAGCTGCCGCTCACCCCCCACATCACCCGAAAAGACCCAGGGTGAAAGCCAGATGCAGCCATGCTCCGCCTTGTTCTTCCCCCGGTCACTTCAAGAGCTGCCAGAAAAGCCCGTAAGGTTTTCCTCGAGGTGCCAGGCAGCGTTCCAGCCAGGGCTCCTTGCAGGGGGGCATCCCTGCAGCACCCTCGTGCCCACCCTGGGCACTGCGGGAATGTGCGGCTCGATGCCGGCACTCAGGGAATAGCGTTTGAGAGCGTGGGCGTGCACCCTCTCGGGGCTTCATGAGGAGGGAACAGCTTCTTTCCACAGTGATCCAGGTGGCATGATCTGTGTTTAACACAGCCCATCAGCTGGCAGAAAACAGGGCTGGAGGAAGGCAGGCAGGGGCCAGATCAGCTCCAACCAACTGAACGCACGCACATGCATGCATGCAAACACATGCACCCCCACCCCTGTGCATGCATGCACCCGCATATGCACACAGATACACATGAGTGCACGCATGCATGCACATTCCCCCATGCACGCGTGCACACGCATGCATGTGCATCCCCCCCATGCACACCGACATCCACCCAACCCCCCCACCAGGCACACTACTCCTGTTCAGCCTGTTCTTAAGCCCCCCAAAGCTGGTGACCCCCAAACGCCCCCCCAGAAGCCTGCTCCAGTGCTTTGCTGGCCTCACCCTCCATAAAATGCTTTTTTACTGCATTTAAGGACCACTTATTGAGCTGCCCATTGCAGCCACAGGACACCAAATAGCCCTTGCAGCAGTCCTGTCCAGACCTCACAGAGCAGCCCAAGCACCCGCTGAACCCATGCACTGGCCAGAGATGACACCAGTGGGGTGGCACTCGGCGGTGACACTCAGAGACCCCACAAGATGCTCAGCAAAACTCACCCAAGCATCCCTGTGCCGCATGGGGGAAGCATGGGCCAGCAGCCCCCTGAAAGGCAAGAGCTAGCAAGTAAATCTGAATTTATTGTTAAATTGCTGGATATAAAAATAATCTGACTTTTAGAAAGCAATTTATTTATGCTTTCAGTACTTGCTTAAATATTTATGCGGAAAAGGAAAAAAAAGTCCACTCCGACATAGGACTATCGTTGTAGCAACGGCCTTTAAGATTAATGGAAGTAAATTAGCCTGATGTTTTATTTACATCCAGCAAAGCAATAGATAAACTCTCCTCATGATGGATTTTCTTCATTAGTTGGGCGAACGCCTAAGGTATAGCTTTTGACATTGTTTCTTCCAAGCGGTTAGACAAACAGTTTATCAAAAGAGTATAAAATTGTCAGGAAATGAAGCAGATTAATGACCAGTAAAGGGAAGATCATTGAATTTATGATATAAGTAGCAGTACCACTGGAACTTAAGAAATGGCTTATTAGATAACCGACATGTACACGCATGCAGAAGCGCTGAGCCCCCCCTGGATCCTCTGCCCTGGCAGCGGCTGCTCCCCAATTCATCCCTTCATGGAGGTCTCTCCACTGAGGCTTCACCTCCCTCCTCCTTCCCTCCCCTTAGGTCTGGGTTTATTCTGTAACACTCTCATTAGAGCTTGTGAACATATTATTTTCTCCCAATTAAAAACCTCTTAGACTGGAACAGCTTCAGGGACAATAACCTTGTCTTAGTGCCTGCGCAGCAATAATGGTTTCCGCAACCTAATTTGGTGATTTTGGCTGCTATTACAGCAGTGATAATCATACCAATAGCAACAACAATAATATGTAGGACTTCTCCGGTCTTTTGATTCTTTGGAAAAAAAATCCCCCAGCGTTAGCAGTTTATGGATCCCATATGGCTCCTCCAGCAATTACCTCTGGAATGATAATTAGCTGTGAGATAAGGCAAATAAGGGAAAGGAGACGGGGAACCTGGGGGAAAGGAAACATTCCTTGCAATAGCAG